TTTTTTTTTTTTTTGGTTTTTTTTTGGTCTTTACACTTCTAGCTTCAAATTTTTTTCTTGTTTCAAAAGCCTAAAAAGGAAATTGAAAACGTTGTAATTTACTTAAGAAAGTTCAGCGGTCGCTCATTATGTTGTTTCTCGAAATGGAGTATGTTATCTAGACCTACGATAATTGTATGGTTATTATGTTTTAGTGACATCGTTGCTAAATTTAGAACGCTGTTGAGTTCGAATTTGAGTGCTGTTATAGAAGCGGAGGTTTTAGAAGGTTCCTTAACTAGTCATTTTTTAATAGTTTTTTTGAGTTTTTTATGATTTTTCAAGATGGGGAGTGCAATTTTTTTTATGCTGAAACGGTTGTTGTTAGGGTCTTCTGGAATGAATGTTGTAATTGACTTTAAGTGATTTGGAAATCAGTGTGAATTGTGTAAACTTTGACGAGAAGATTATTTATTCTTGTTGTAAAATTATACTTCGGGGTTACTTCTGCATTTAAATTCATACTAATTTTTATCATCTTTTGCTTAGTGAATGAAGTCTTTTTGTTTGTGCAGTTCACTTTTTCCTTGCATTTTTTTCTACCTCAAAAATTTTATTTGTGGGCACTGTGGAAAGTTTTTGTTACCCCCAAGTTTGGCTCTGTTGTATTTGTCTAAAATAAGGAGAAGTTACCAGAACCAGGTCTTTTGAACTTGTGGTAACACATTTTTTGGAGCGCAGTTTTACTTTCGTATTTGGTTTACCCACTATTGAGGAAACAGTATGTTGAGTTGCATAGATCACAGCTCGAAATGAATTTGGCAGGATAGTTCTGCTGATCGTTATTTTTAGATTTGAGCATACAATTTTGTCATCTTAATTTTTTTCAGTCTCAGTTTTTTGTGTTACTTTCATTTTTTTATGCAGTTAATGGTATTTTTTGTTGAGGCCTTTTGTTAACTCGTTTGTTAGAAGCGTGATAGGAACAGTTTTATTGCGAAAAAAATTTCGGGTGGCAATAAGAATCCAAATGATAGTTGTGAAAAGTTGACATAATTCTTGTTCAGCATGTATTTTTTTAGTTTGCATCTGTGTCATGAAATCTGTTGGTCCTCTTTGTATTCCTCTTTCTAGTTTTTTATTTAGCTGAAGTTTTATTTATTGGAACTTATTGGGTTGGTTTTATCTGAATACTTTTGTATCTTAACATTTCTTTTGAACTTTTTTAGATACAACGTTTTCTTTTTTAGCTTTATGGCTAGGAAAGGCAGGTGTTCTGGTCGTACTTTTCCGTTATTTC